TAGATTTAGATTATGCGTTTCGTTAAGAGTGCGACAAAGGGTAGTGTTTTAAAGTTTTGTACACATGTCAAAACAGAAGATACTCTTCATTTTGCATTGGCAACTACATACTTACTGCTCAAGTGAAGTTCCTTCCGATTTCCAACTTGTGTTTCTTTCCTGCTCTGTTCCACCTCCCTCTTGTGTACTATAGAGCAACCTTTAAAGCTTTATTCTGGACTTCAAAAATGTTTTTTGAACATGGTGAGGATCGAGGAAACATCCTGCAAATCGATTTTGATCGATCGTACAACAAGTGTGCTAACAAAGTGGACAACTGTTGCATTTACGCTTGTCCCATATCACAGTTGTCCAGTAGTGAGTAAAAGGTGACGAGTCGTTTTTTCATATGTGAGAGTCAGCGAAGTGAGAGCTTGAGTCCCCGCTTCGATCTAACTGCAATCCTTAAAGTGAGTCACAAAAGTCCTATTGCTTCTCGTCTAAAAGCATGTCACGTCTGATATGAACAAATAACATACTCCATATTATTATACGGAGCTGAAAGGGGATTTCTACTTCAATCTTTTTTTGAACTGAGATTTCGAATGCGAAGATGCCTCATCAACGTCACGTGCACATCTCCATCCTAAGTTAACAATGATGGTAAAGGTTTGTCACTTACAAAGCTAGACAAAGTTTGTAACCTTAAAGTTCTTCATATGGGGATGATTAGACTGCAACAATGGCTACCAATGATATATATATATATATATATATATATGATGATCGATATAGCGCTATCTAAATATTTATTTCTTCGAGGATAGAGTTAATGACTTGCATCTCCCTCGTTTGGCTCCAAATAGTTCAGAAGAGTTTCCCAATTTCTTTACTGGGGCTTTCATAACACTTTTTTATGCACATAAGCATGGACATCTTCCCCATACAGACATGAGATAACTTGATTGAAATTCATACACACGTGTCAAAAAGTCGTCAAGGTACAAGCAAGTGAGAGAAGACGAACGATTATTGTGCTCAAGGAGTCTTGTGTTGAAGCAAATACCTCCTAACGAACAATAACTGAAATGAGAAGACTTAACTTCCATCACGCCTGAGAGTGAAATTTGAAGGTACGGCCAGCAGTTTAGGTTTTGGCTGGTTTTTTTCCAACCGAATTCCATCGGAGGGTTGATCTGCTGGATCTTCATGTTGCCAGTGGATCTGCAAAATCGTAGAGTCAAGTCTATTAACATTACACCTTTGACCTGTACTCGAAACTGCACTCCAATACTCTGCATTTGATTGTTTCATGAAGTGGAGAAAGGCGAGACAATTGAATGTAGTGCAGGTGCAAAGGACCATTGGCTCATACTCGATTCTTGAGGTCCAAAGGTAAAGTTGCGGAGATGCAAGTATTCTCAATGTACTGCGTGTCTGGGATACATGACTTGGTGTATCTGTACGTAATGGCGTGTAGGAAGAAATACAATAAGTGTTGATGCTTTTGACGGCTCTTGTGGGGCCTCTGCACCTATGCTCTGCTAATGGACTGCGCTATATCCTTACAACCCAAATCCCGATACATCCCCCTCTCACATCCCCATCTGGTTCCTCCATTTTTATTCCACCTCTCTTGGTTTTCTTTCTCCAACTCCTCACATGTATGATGATACATGCGATCCTCTGCTTTGAACCGCCCGATGTCTCCATTTGTGTACTTTACTCACGTACTGCGAGTCATTTCCTGACAGAACGGTGACAGAACCGACACGCAGAAAGTATGCTTGTAAGAAAGAGATGGATGCCAGTCTGAGTACAACGTACACACTCTGCAGTCCATTCAGGAGCCATTCGTCAATTTCTATCTGAGTATGATTTTCAAACTCATGAAAGTGGTTGATAAATAGAGTATGGCTGTACATCCATGCCTAGTAGGGGTAGCTCGGTCGCGCTTATCTTACTCTGTCTGGAGCCATGCACCGACCCCTTTCTCTTGTTCCATGTCAATGCGGGACGGATGCCCGATTGTGAACCTGTCTTGTCTTCAACTGATATTGGATACAGATCCAAATATATATTTCGCATGAAGTCTGGCATAAATGACACGAAACGTTGCTCACAATCAGGTAAAAGGAAGTCTCGCTGGTGCAACTTTATTTCGCTTGCGAGAAACACAAGCATCGAATGATACTTTCTTTTGATATCATGGGTGGTGGTCTGTCTGCCTCATAGCCCTTGTAAACAGTGATGAATAATCGTTCAACGCCTTCAAGTTTTCGTAGTAAGGATGCTTGTGCGTGTTGTGGTTGGAAGTGGACAATTCCCACGAGCAGACTTTCATTGCTTCCGTTCATGTATTAGCGAAAACCATGGCACTCCTTTTACGGAGACATGGAGGGGGCAAGGCCCGTAAGACACAGTTCTGATAGACAACGTGATTAACGATCTTCATCAAATGCACCTGCAGTTTCTTCAACTGCAGGTTACCCAGGATTCCAGGAGCGGCTAAAATAAGTCAGCAGATATGTGACAAATCAAAGGTCTCTCTATTGCATGATGGTAAGTTGATGTTGTCAACGAACTTTCTGTTTAGATGTTGCAGCGTTTCCTTTGTTCGAGTTTAGGACGTTTGTCGCTGCTAGGAGGGCATCTAACGAACTTACCAGAAAGAAAGAAGTGAGAGCAGAATATAGAAAAGGCTGATCAGCCGGTTCTGAGCAACCACAACTTCTTCACGAACATTCCGCCAGCACCAGTAGCGCCTCCAGCTGCGGGTCACACTGACTCCTGCTAGCTAGAATTGCTTCCCCTCAATCCAAAGCATTCCGCGATTTTAGCGGAGTGGTCACCCACCCACATCGGGTGCATACTCTTACATACGAAAGCAGGACAAATGTAGCAGTTGGCATTGGCAGGAAGGGCTTCTCATGATTCTTGAGACTGCAGCGCATGACTACCAGTCCTGACAGGATCCTGAGTTTAATCGTAGGGCTCTCCAGTGGGGCCGACTCTTGGCTGCCCCCTCACTTGGAATCTATGCATGACATTACGTCTTCCTAATAACTTTCTTAGAATGCCATTGACGAATGTAGGCCTTCGTATTGACCAGAAAGGTACTGTATAGTAGTCCTCGCTGTTCGTGTATTTCATGGTAAAGCTCCAGAGCAGCATCCAAAATTTTAGATGTGATCCTTCTCTGGCTTTCTTATCCTTTCTTTTAGATTGCACGAAGTATCTCAAACTGCCTAGATGTCAACAAGCAAGACTTTTTTGTCACCAGACTGTTGGTAAAGCTGTGATTAGCCAATATCTAAACGAGGTGTCAACAGCAGAGCTGGCTGCTCTCATCTATTGGCATGTCTGTGTCATTTGTCCGAGTCCCATCACTGGCAGTATGATCCCTTGAATGGAAGTGACTGTTCTTGCAATCTGGGAAATGAAAAGTGGCCTCCATTTACCAGGTCAGCAGTCACTTCTAGAACCTGATGACGATAAGAAAAGATGAAAATGTTTAACTGAAGAAGGTGACTTGAACCTGTTTTCTTTTGACAATGATGGATAGGATAAAATGCGGATATTATAACTGCAGTTTACTTGCGTACAGTTCCGGGTATCCATGGCGGCAGAGAGGCCGAAAGAGATAATCTCAAGGATTTGTCTTCACTTTGTCTCAATTTCTTAGAGATGTATCAAAACCTAGAGAAAAGATTTCAGGCAAAGTTTTCTAGTTGTTTCTAAGTAGCAAATTTTTCCTAATCTTGCCGGTAATAGCGTTGTCGGCGACAAAAGTGACAAAACCCAGAAGAAGCAATGGGAGGGCTCAAAATTCTCTAGGTAGAAGATCACCAGGTGCTTACACCTCTTAGCGTAAACTTGCCAGACTAATATTAGCATAATAAGTACGGTAATAGCGTAAACATTCGAGAAGTAACAATGGCAGGACAGTCACCTTTCGTAACAAGTAGAATCGAAACTTTGTTTCTCGGGGTTGAACGTTTATGCACTTGTTTATTTAATTTCTGGTTATTGCGAACAGTTTATTTATGTCTAAGAAAATTGATGGTAATAAGAAATGCTATTCATTATGAACACAATAGATTTCTCCAATAATGAAGAGAGTGGGAAGCAAGAAAAATGTATATGACTTTGGAGAAAATCAAAATGTGAAAACTTTGAAGTGCTTCGTAGAATACCGTGAAATATCGGGAAGGGCCGATAATAACAGAAAATTTATAGGATGGGCGCGAATGGTTTCACTGTGCTTCAAGACTACGAAGGTTTACTTTTTCTTTCCAGCAACGATCAGAAGAATCCTTTATCGTAGTCGGGAAGCTTGTCCGTAGCTTAAACTCTTTTCTCTTCTGTAAGCAATGTCTTATTTTTCGTCCCATGACGGTTGTCCATGAGCCAACCATAGTTGTGGAAACTCACAAACAAGAGCACATGAAGGAGGTTGGTTGTGGGCCTGCTCATGTGAGGCCACTCTGAAGAATAATTTAATTTCATTCGCTGAAAGACGTGGCACAAATGGAGGGACACAATGTGAACTGGAAATGGCGAATGCCGGATGTATACATACAGTTGCATGTACGCCCAAATGGTCTAATATCCGCCATGGAGCCAACCAGGCAGCAGGCAGCAGGCAGAGTAGTCACATATCCAGAAGGAGGTTGTAGCAGGGAAGATTCGGAGCATTAAAGAACGTGGATTCCACCATCTCTGGGGAAATCTGCGGCTACAGTGGGGCAGAACAATGTTGAACAGCATACTTACTGCGCGAATTCGGGACCGAGAGATGCGAGACAGACACGGAAGCACCTGAACACCGCTCGAAGGTACGAACGAAGCAAGATGCTGGACTCTGGAGGAGGAAGGGGAAGTGGAGGAGTTTACTGACTAGGGACAAAACCTCCTCTCTGTTCTTCCCGTACGGGGAGGGGGGCCCTTGACCAGCACCATCCGCAATGTCATACAGTACCGTAGAGTATAATATATCAGGCCGGAGCAGGCTACACCGGAGCTGGTGGGGAAAGGAAGAAGAACCGATAGGAGCGCAGAAATTCCATCAGGCTCTCGCGGTAAAATCCACGAGCCTTTGTCTTCACTTCATCTCACTGCGGTGCGGGTCGCCCAAGGAAAGCAAAGCAATGCAAAGCAAAGCGTAGGAAAGCGGAGAGCGGTGTGAAGTGAGGAGGGGAGAGGACTCGGAGGAGGGAGAGTGGCGGCCCTTTAAGGCCGACTCTGCCATTCCTCCATTCTTTGCTAGCTTTGGTGTAAAGCTGATCAAGCAGTCAGACAGGCGTCGTAGGGTGTGGCAGAGGAGCAGCAATCTGACCACTTTTGCGTACGTCTACAACCACTGTAGGCCGGGAGGAGGACTTCGAAGACCGAAGGAGACTGTGCTGGACTGGATTCGAACGATAGTCGACCGATTCGGTACCGGTAGTTGATGTCTTTCCTGGTCGAGGGAGTGAGTGAGTGAGCGAGCGGGAGAGTGATTGATTGATTGAGGGATCGATTCCATGAGGCACCGAGTGAGGGGAGAAGGCGGGAGTGAGAGAGGGAGTGAGTGAGTGAGTGCACTCAACCGACACTGCAGCAGCGAGCTCGCCTGCCGATAGTACCGAAGTTCAAACTGTAAGTTCGAATTCAAACAACACGGGTCTGAACTCTGGTTTGGTCTGCTCTGGTCTAGTGGAATCCCACTGTCTTATTATGGTGGACAGCAAGTGTGTGAGTGACGTGTATGTGAGCGGAACATTGGGCGTCGGGAGAAGAAATGGGACGACGGCTGCAAAAAGCTCTCAGGAGATCAGGATGCCATGCCAGGTTACGGAGTGTAGTTGATTGCACGAGGGAGGGAGGGATCAGTGCTATTCCTGCCCGACTATTTTTTGTTCCTTTTTTCTTTTTTCGTGTTCGGTTCGCAGTCGAAGCTTTCACTCTGACCAGCCTGTCACGCTTTCTTTGTTCAGTTTTAGAGCGGACTGGAGGTTGTGGGGGATTCGGTCCTTCAATTGTGGATTGTTTTCGGTAGGCGGCCAGTTAGCATCGTCCCTCGACGGAAAGTGTGGCATCTCTCGAGGTCCCATTCACTACATGCTGCGGCGTCGGTCTTGCTATTCGTGAATGTTTTGAAGCTTCCTCCGAGGTTTAGTGCTGCACTATCGAGACCTAGTGGAAGGAAGTTGGAGAGGAGTAGGTGGTCTGGAGGCGGAGCACGGAAGAATTAGTGGCACACACGGAAATCACAGCAGGATTCTCGACTGCCACCCGGGGAGGCCTTTGTTGCTCTGAGATTGACGGACTGTGCCCGTTCAAGATCTGCTTGGTGGGACGGGAATTCGATCCATCACAAATAGAGCGAGGCGAATTTTTCTGCGCGAGGAAGACCTAGAGAAGCGGAGCGGGCACGAGGTTGGAGTGGCCGACCATAGAATCTGGGATTCTCACGTGCCCGGAGTGGTACTGGCTTCTCCGGCGTTGCCAAGGATGGGTGATCACTGGTGGTGCAGTGTACTTCGGTGCACAGAAAATTGGGCTGCACAAGATCAGATGGGGGCCTCTTTCACTCGTCCGAAGGACTTGTAGGAGGAGAGCGAGCTCTTAGTTAGCTAGATAGCACTCTCACAGGAGTGGTATGGAAACGGTGGCCTGAAGGTTGTGATGCATAATAACCAGTAAGCTTTGCTTGTTCTTGAGCTCTTGAAACCATGAAGTGGTGGAAAAAGTCGAAATCGACGAAAGGCGGCTCAAAATGCATGCCTGGGAGCACCAGCTTCACAACGCCGGGCTACATCAACAGCAAGGATGCCCATTCCATTCGAAACGCTGCCCCCGACCCTGCGAGTTTGCAATTGGATGACCGTGTGCAAGCGTATCTGAACCAGATCAACTCCAGGCCTGTCTCAGGATCCTGCACCTCAGGATTTCGATTGGGTGATTCCACACGGCCCACCAAAGCAGGTAGGCCAAAGTCTGTCAGTGTCGGGAACATTGTGGACTTAGCCATAGCTGTGGACGGTGAGGACTCGAGCCCTTCCTTCTTTCCATATTCAAGCTCTGGTTTCACCTGTGGCCAGATCACTCCGCTTCCGTGCTCCGTCTGTAAAAATTTTCCTAAGAACTACGGTCGCCCTCCTTACAAATTCAGCTACGAGGAGCTCGAACAGGTGACCAAGAAATTCTCGCAGGATCATTTTTTCGCGGAGGGGGAATCGGAGTTTGTTTACAAGGGAACTTTAGCAGATGGACGGCGTGTGGCTGTGAAGACGAGCTCTCACGAGGATAAGTTTTGGGCAGAGATCGAAGCTCTAAGCAGTGCCCAGTTTCCGAATGTCATCACCTTAGTTGGCTTCTGCGTCGAGGACAACCGGCGATTGCTCGTCTATGACTTCGTTTGCAATGGCTCTCTCGACTGGCACCTCTCACGTACGTGGTTTCCTGTCCCGTTCACTCATTTCTCTGTTAGCTGGCAGTAAAAAGTTCGGGAGGGGCAGTCCATATCCTTTACTAGTCATATTTCGTCCTCGCCCAACATGCGCGATTAAATTCGTAAAGCTTGCGACATGATTTTGGCGAGAACGGCCGTAGCTACAATGCTTCGTTAGGTCACTTTAATTTCTCCTTGCCACTCGATAGTTTCATTTTTGGAGGTATAGGGCTGTCAATAATGAGTGCACTCACTTCCTGTCCCTAGCAGTAACTGGTTTGATAGATCCAAATTCAATCCAAGTGAGCCGGGTGACGTCAAGGATATGGTGGAATTGTGAGTGCATCCTTTGACTGATCGTATTCGATATTGATGCAGCGCGAAATCCTAACCGGATGGAGTGGTCGGTGCGACAAAAGATTTCTGTGAACATTGCCAAGGGCTTACGGTACTTGCACGAACAATGTCGAGTGGGATGCATAGTTCATCGGGATGTGCGATCTAAAAATATATTCCTCACACATGACTTCGAACCTCTGGTAAGTCGTTATAGTTTTGATGCGAAATCTATGACCCTGTCTCTGTGTCTCTCTTCGTGAATATGAAAGTTATAAATTAGTGCGATCTAGCCTAATCACCCTCATCCATCACACATTTCGAGAATGAGCATCAGAGTGCTGATAACACGGCTTTGTGATTACTGCAGATTGGGGGGTTAGGATTCGCAAGATGGCAAGCTGATGGATCAGTGGCAGTGAGAAGTAGCGTGGTTGGTACCCCAGGGTGAGTTGAAGATGATTGAGACTCGTAGATGATTCGTGTCTATGTATTTGATTTGGTTCTTGCGTAGTTTCATAAGCTGAGCCTGACAGGATTCGCCTCGACTCGATGAAATTTAATCTGTGCGCTCGGTCTGACCCTGGGCCTAGATACATAACCTTTCCGTTAAGTATGCTCGGTGGCTCATGAGTTTCGAATACTTGCAGGTACTTGGCTCCAGAGTATGCTGAAAGTGGGCATCTGTCTGAGAAAGTGGATGTCTACTCCTTCGGTGTCGTGCTGTTGGAACTCATTAGTGGGCGGAAAGCAATCGACTTCAATCGCCCCAGTGTGGAGCAACAATTTTTGGCTGATTGGGTAGGTTCTACATGGCGAGCCAACGATTGCATGCCAACAACGTGCATCTAACTACATGCACATTGTTGATGCTCGTTGCTCACAAGTTTTCCTCCGTTTTAAGTATAGCCATTGTTCTAGCTATTATGCCAGAAGAGGTAGATATGATTCGTGCTATTTAGTAATGAGCATGTAGGCTTTGCCAGTTTTTGTGTATTCACATATTTATGTACATGGATAACAGGCACGACCCCTGCTGGAAGATTTTGGAAGGGTAGTGAAGGAGGTCCTGGACCTGCGCATCGGCAATGAGTATCATCATCATGAGCTTTACTGCATGGTGAATGCAGCGAGTCTGTGCATCCGTAAAGACCCAGCTACACGTCCTAACATCAGCCAGGTTGGTTTTCCTTCATCGTTCATGTGTACCAGATTTGTTGAATTGATATTCTTATAGACTCGTCCTGACATCAAGAAGAGCATCCTTTTGTTTTGGCTTATACTGAACTGAGTCATGTAAACGACGTACTCGTGAGCTGCCATTTCCGAATAGATTCTACCTATTCATAACTCACTCGAATTTCTTCTTCATAACCTTGAATAACTTATTGGTTATCGTTTGCTTTGAATATAGACTGTATGATCATTGTTGGGTTGAACAGTCCATAGCGCAGTATATGCTGTATGCATAGTTTCCGAAAGCGTGGAGTGATGGAAAGTACTTGTCATGGATGGAACAGGTGCTCTGCATTCTAGAAGGTGACAATGATCAAGAAAACCTGATCACTGTCCCTGCGAACTGGTGTGCCAACAAAGACAATTCGGCTTCCTTCAGGGAGAGACACGGTCCTCTTACTCCAGACGACCAGTATGAGACCGAACTAAGATATCCTTCAGGAAAGCTTTCATCGAGTTCAGGTAGCAGCTCTGGATCTGCTTCTCGACCACCCAGAAGTAATTGTCTTCCAACTAAACGCCTTCCCAGCAACAATGGCCCAGTTACTTCTTAAGACCACCTTTTCGAGTGCTCTTTAACCTCATTACGATTAACATATAAACCTAAGAGCCTGCAGAATCGAACCAAACTAAACCGATCACCAATTAGTGTACAGCTTAGTAGGCTCAAAGCATGTAACGAAATTTCACCTCAGAGTGTACATATACAACTATTTTGTGGATATTGAATGCAACAGAGTACTGCATTGCAATTCCTCCATGATTTTGTTCATTCTTTAGTGTGAGTTTTTGTTCCTGTAAAGGCTGGATCTTGTGCAACAGTAACTCATTACTGCGGCCGCTGTCTGTTTGGTACCCAGTGCGGAAGTACCTTGTATGTGATACTTTCCACCATCCTGCTTTTAGCATTAAGAGGGCTTCTGAATTCAGTTTCAGGATGAACTATTGTTGTGAAGGATCCAGATTTCTGCTTTGAGTCCACTAGCAGTAGCTAAATCAGACGTTCTAATCTGAATAGGATATGTAGCACTCATCATACTAGAACCATCCAACACTAACATCTAAACATTAAGGACCTGAGTCATTAGCGTCAGAGACTGTCAGTGATGATTCCAGGTACGGAGGGGTACTGGGAAACCATCCCTATATCAATAAGAGTCATCTATCCTATGACAAGCTTCTCCTTGTCTCCCGACTATTCATATTACATATAACACGTCCTGGAAAGGATACGCTGAGTGCTACATTGAGAAACGACAAGAGCCTGGCCTTTGTAATAAATTGTTCGTTGAAAGGACCAGACTTCATGTTTACCCTTGCTTGTGAGGGTATACTTCTCAGCTGAACCAATACTTAGAAAAACTTGGCACCTGTGTGAAAAGTATTGCGGAGTTATTTTAGTACGGGAGGGTAGTTGTAAGATGGAAGGCAATGACTATTGATTTATCAGAAGAAGACCAGCTACTTAATCCCTGGCCCGTTCAAGAATGTGAAAAAGTCGACCTGTTTTTGAATCTCGAGTGAATAAAGTTGTGGGTTTTAAAGCTATTTGTTGTCTCGCCACGTGAGTTTGTGAATCTGAGTCAATAGCTGAAGCAGTATTATGAGTTAGCCACGTTTGAAGTATTATCATTCCGAGCCACACACGCAATCAGAATCAACCTTTAATCGAAAATGGATGAAACCGTATGCAACCGCGATTGGGCAGAAATCGGGAGCTTAAAAATACCTCGACCACGGAAAACAAAATTGCACGCCACCGATTCTTCACTCTAAACTCGTTGGCAGCTGCAGACAGTCCGTCGGAAATAAGACAGCGCCTGAGTTCAAGCAGACGATCGTCAACGGCGTCAATGAGTCTTTCTAGTCGTCGAGGCGAATCAAATTCTCCCCCACTTAATGTGCAATTAACGCATTCAGTATGTTAACAGCGGCACATGCATACCTCATGGAGTGTTTCTCAAGGCATACCACTTTAATTAGAAAACTGAAGCCCCTTCTGCGCACATGACTTTCGTTTCAGAGCACAGATGTAATATGCTGGTGCAACTCTTCGTACTCGTGTGATGGTTTTAAGATCTCCGCCTAATTATGAACTCATGTTCCCGCTCGCAGTGGTCGAAGCCCTTCGCTACACGATGGCTCGCATATTCCCTAGCTTGTGGTCGAGATGCTCAGCACTCATTCGGAGGCTCGGCGTTGAGCTCAGATTCCCGGCCGATTTAGACAAACGCCGACACCTGAATGAAGCTCTTGCGTTAAGAAAGCCTCCTCGATTCCAGCAGCAAATGGTCGCAGAGCTGGGTTTATTATAAACACTGCCATAGCGGACAGGGAAGCGGCGTGACCTGAAAAGGTGTCCGCATTGAACAACTGACGCCGACAGCAGTGGCATTCCTCATAATAGGTAAACTTCGATCCGTGCGGGCGTGCGTGCTCTTGTATTCCATAAGAATTAAGCTCCTGCCCTAAAGGTCCATCCTCGTGAAGGTCACATCCTCGACGGTACGGTGACCTATTGTCACTTTCTCAAATTTCTATTTCTATGTTTGCTTCGTGACAAGCACGGGCCATCCGCAGAAGCGACAACAATTGTTGCTGATTCTGGTTAATGGCAAAGGAAATCTTTGCCATTAACCTATTCTTAACAATTGGTCTGTCTTCCAACACAAAGTTTCTTACAAGTGGGATTCATCTCCCTCTCTATTAACCTGGATGGGCCAGTAACTTCGGTAATCGGCCTCGCTACGGCCTCAGAGCAATCTACGGATGGCAAATTGGCACGCAAAATGATACTCTTCGCGCTAGGACTCACCAGGTAGCGGGAGCGCCGCAAAGCCATCGGCGAAGACTGCAGAGTGAGCCCCAAACTCCGAATTTTTTGAGAATCTTCCGAAACAAATTTGAATGATCTAAATTGAGAATATAGTACCGAGCAATAGTTTCGAATGTTTCGAAAGCTTCTGAATGAGCTGGAGACGAAAGTGAAGGCTTCGATATGAAACGTCAGGAATGTCATCTGCAAAAGTCTGCAACTTCACGATGTCCAACTCTTCGAATGTGAGGTGAAATGGTACGGAGCTGCCATGCCATTTACGTTGTTTTATCCATCTATTCACGGGCCGGTTTGCACATGGTTACCGAACTCATCAATTTCACTAACAAGTGAAATTGATGAGTGTATTTTGGAGAACTTTATTAAGAGAAAGGGGGTACTCCACTGAAATAAAGACCGTTGGCAAACGTCATCAACATATACATAGGATGGCGAAAATGTTCATAAACAACTTGCGGCTTCATCCATCTCACTTGCCAATTGTTAATCTCGATGATTTTGCTCTCTTCGAGGGAAGAGCGTGGAGTAGGTTAGGGCGGAATAAGTTCTTCACGTGTTGTATTGAAGCGTTATACTCTGTTCACACTTAAATTAACCAATTATATTGTTTGAAATTTTGTTTAAGTTGGTAACTAAATAGGACTTGGAGTATTGTGCAGGAATATATTGATTAAGTGTTAATTTGATTATTTTCCCCTAATCTTTCTCGAAATACACATTATTCCAATTTTTCACTATTACAGCATTGATTCAAATTAAACATAGTTCATTATGGACACCTCATTAGACATCTACGAGGTAAACATAGTTTAGGATTTTGATAGTAAGTAAATGAACAAATAAAAAATTATTTTAATATTATCAACTACGTGAGGTGGTATTTGAAGCGCATGTGTTTGTGCAGATGTGAGTAGATAATGAAGTGTGGTAGAATTGCTTGATACATTTATTTTCAATATCATTTGATCTTGCAAGTTGTCAAAATTCATTTGAAATAGAGCACAAAGATAATGATTAGACAAAATGAAATTTGCACATGAAAAAAGTATTTATAACATTAATTTCAGCATCTCTTTTTTCATATATAATTTATTCATATCAAGTTATGAATAAATTGTTGGTAAATTCAAAAACATATATTATATGAGAGTAAATAACATGAAATTCCAACTGTACTATATGAGTAGAATGGAGGCATATTTTTAACTTCACAAATTTTCATTGTATGTGAGGTTTAGTGATAATTAAAAAATTTAATGCAGTTTCATCACTAATCATGCACTATAATTGGTTGATATTAGAAACTTAAAAGAAAATTTGGGATTTTTATGTGAGATTATTAGCTAGATTGTGAGCAATTGTTGAGTTGATAACCTAGTAAAGGTGGAAAATTAGGCCTAATTTTAAGTATTGGTTGGTAACAATAGTCACAAGTCAATCTAGCAAAACTCTTGTAGTTTTGCCAACGATCGCATAAAGTTTTGCATAAAGTGTTAATGTTTGTTAAACTTGTGTTCTGGCAGTTGCTTCGTCACAAGATTTGTCATCTATGTCTATTTGTAATCAAGTACAGTCTTCTCGTCTAAAACTCGTCGCCTTGATGTTTGGACTTTAAGTGTTTGATTTTAGCATGAAATATAGTGTAAGCTTTAAACTCCCCACCCCTTTGCGTTTGAGTCCGGATGGGGGTCTAAGCGAACAAAGATAAAACACTAACACTCATGAAACTGCACTTAGACAAAAGCCACTCATGCTACCTCTACTATTGCCAATAAACTCTAGCTATCATATCCTAACTCTTCTCTCTCCTCCCTCCACAAGAGGAATCAACACAAAGAAAGAAGACTACCTCCGCACTCCACTAAAACCCACCAGCACCCGCAGCCACAAGGTCACCCCTATCCCGATCCCCAAAATCCGCAAAATCCAAAAAGAAGCCTAGCGCATGACACCTGGCATGCTATCACATACCCTCATCCATATCTTACCTCTTGTAGGGGCAATTTGTCTGCAGAGAGTCCTTGCTGTGCTGGCGATTTCAGAGTCTTTTCAACCTCATCAAAGGCAAGAGCCGGATGCATTTCCATCTCTGTCTCTAACATTCACACCCCTATTAGTGTCGTGACCAGTAGTACGATAGAACTAAGGCCCAGGTAGTGAGCACAAACGCTGCACAACGATTGCTCCAACATTCTCCCCTGCCCATTCGGCACTCGACATTCGAGGCAACTCCATCTTGAAACTCTTTGCAATTCCAAACCAATTTCTTCCTATACTAGCCACCGCCGATACCAATCCACACTTAACGAGAACTTCCAGTAGCCTTCTTTGTACCAAAGCACATCATCTGTGAGACGCTTATGTCTTGTATCGACATCTTTTCATAAGAACCGTGACATCTGCTGCTGCTTGTCCTGCCAGCGTGGCTGCTGTAGAGTTTTTGCAACTTGTAAGTCGTGTAAACATGCTAGAAAATCCGCTATATGCCTCCACCTCCTTCCCATCGTCACTGAAGCACAGAGTTTTCCTCGGGGACGAGTTGCCGGGGAGGTAGCTCGTTCACTCCTTCCGCAGAAGGCACACGTGTCTCCGCATTCCTGTCTTCGTCTTCTCTGCCCTCAGGCGTAGGGATGTTTTCTAAGGGTCTCTACACTGAAGGCGCCTCCTCCGAAGGCCCTTGCTCCAAAGGTCCTTGCTTCAAAGGTCCTTGCTCCGAAGGCCCTTGCTTCGAAGTCACTTGCTTCAAAGGCCCTTGCTCCGAAGGCAATTGCGCGCCTTAGCCTATCCATATCAACCACTTTCAACACTCAGAGATTCATAGATCCCTTATCCGTTTCAAATGTTCTTGGGCTCGTTAGAACGAGCGTGTTGAGCTCTATCTATCAAGACTCTAACTAAGTCAAGGCGTTACTAATTGAAAACGTTATGAGGTATTTACTCCATCAGATCTCTAAAACTTCTTCGAGAAAGAAAAAAAAACTAGATTACCATAAAAGTACAACACTTCTGGCCTTGCCACACTCTCTCCTCTACTGCACTTTACTATGGGAGAACGCTCATTTTGATAAATTGCACAGCTCTGGTCACAATCTTTCGAAACAGACCTTGCTGCTTGCGGCTTTACTTTTCATAGTTCGTCCTCAAATACTCCACCTCACAATTCAATTGCACTCCAAGAACGAGCAGTGCTAATAAATCTTGCAGTTCCTCTCGTTGTTCTACCATTAAGTCGCCCTCCGTCGAGATGATACTCCTTGTTGTGGGTTCTTGAATTCGCCACCAACTCAAGAACGGTTCTTGTACGTAACCATTTCCTTTACGTAGCTGTCTTAACGTATAAAGTAACTAACATGTGACTAACACTATCTAATTATTTTTTATTTTTTTTCTTTGATTGTTCTAAGATCTTCTACTTTTCTATTCTAGTTCTAAGTCAAAAGGTGAGCACATAATTGAGCTCACATATAAAACTAAGAGTGAGGTTTACAACACCTTGATTGTCACATGAGAGTATCACAGTTCAGGCATGATTGATTTTTTTGCAAATGTTGGAATCTTCACTTGTAATTGGGACTACAATAGGCAGTATAATCTGAATCTAGTCTAGTACTCGGCGCATGCAGATTATTTCCTTGGTTGCTTCGATACTAGTGTCAAAGATAGAAGCATGTTGTTTTGAGAATGAAGAGATTGAATCAATCACTATCATAGAGAGTTAAGAACCAACGTACATGTGTATAATGACAATTAAAATAGTCAGAGTTTAAATACTCACGAAAAAAAGTTGAGACATTGTTGTTTTAAAGGAGGTCATGGTATCAGGTGAAGTTAAGGTAGCGGAGTATGTGATAGACAAAATCCAAGTGCGCTACTTCATGCTTTTCAATAATGTTATTGTAGTTGTGTTTTGATCTCTGCAATGTGTACGAGACAAGTTTGTAATTTTATTAGATCATCAACATAAAGAAGTAGCATGATGATGGTCTTATCTTCTCTGATAATATTGAGGTTGGAATCAAGTTTGCTTTGAGACTAACCAATTAAACAAAGATGCAAGTCAATCTCCTCATATCATTATCTCAGAAATTGTTTGAGACCATATATTGATCTGTTGAGAAGACAAACCAAGTGTTTCAAGCCTAGTTGCTCAAAACCAGATGATTGTCTGATGTAAATTTGTTATTTTAGCTTCTTATTCAAGAAGACAACTATTACATACATATGATGCAATTCACATCCAAGAGCTACAAACAACAATATAAGGACCGAAGAGTTGACCATTGTATCAAAAAAGTTGTTCTAGTCATTATCATTATATCATTCTTATAGTCAATGCCATGTTTTTGTTAGAGTAATTTGGCTCTTAGGCGCGCTTTTAAATGTAGAAACATAACATGAGTTGTGATTTGGTCTTGAAAATTTATTTACACAAAAGAGCTCTTTTAGCTTCTTGGAGCGTGACTATTTTTCATGTGAGATTTGCAACCATGAAGTCAAACTCCTCATGCATTGTTGCTTTTTAAAGAGATTTATTAGTGTTTTAGCCATTGAGAGTTGATTATCAGTAGGTTGTGTTGTCTCCATTATGTTGAGAAAGGTGTGAGCAGGTCCGTGATAGTTACTCTAAAGAAATTGCATGAGTCTTTTACCTTTCAGATTGGTGTTGGGTCTTGTGCATCGATCAGAAATCCAGCGAAGTAAATCTGCTTGGACAAAGCTAGCAACGTTGTTAAAGACGTAAATAAATATGACTGAGCAACCGACTCTTGAGTCGATTAATGTGCAATCCCTTCAGAATTATGTCCCTCTGGGCGCAACAATCGATCAGAGCCCTCATCTTTAGTCTCAAATTTACTGAATAGGTCCACAAACTTGTGAGTGTCTTAAAAATTACTTGGTACATACTCTAAAATGCATGCTTTAAAACATGTTACGTAATTTGTACAAGTAATGTGATGATTCACCACATCATAGAAGCAATGCGATTTACAGTCATTGACATAGCTTGCAAACACACACTATATGCTTTAGACTGCAACTTGATTCTTTGGTCTTCTACAATATGCACATTCAAAGTGCAATCAAAAGCACGGAGGCTAGATAGGTCAAAAATCGATCTGTGCAACTTTTTGGAAGGTGTTGTTACGTTGAGTAAGTGAGTGACTCAATGATTCAATAAGTAGTCAACATTTAAAATTGGTTTCATTCACAAATAATAAAAAAACTTGGAAGTGTTAAATATGCAACGCGCAACCTCAAACAACGCACGATTTTTGCGTTCAAAACTACCACTTTGATGAGGAGTTGCTGATGTGATGAGATGCTGAAAGATAACATTCTTTCCATAGTAGATTTTGAACTAATTAGAGATGTATTCATCTCATCCATTAGATTGAAAGGTAATGACTTTAGTATTCCAATCATGCTCGGTGTGCCAACCAAAGATCACCTGTGTTGGATACAAATTGTTAGAATTGATGAAAAGATTTAATAGCCAAGAACAAGATCCATGTAAAACGGATATAATAATTAGTGAACGTTAGTAAGTATCAAAACTCGATCGAGGCTTTAACTAGTCTCTCTAGATTGTTTTGGACTAACTTTAGTGGAAAATTCATCTTCTTAATCGCCAATTTGGAATTTTTGATGCTTTAACTAGTATGTCTAGATTGTTGTGGACTAACTTTTGTGGAAGATTCGTCTTCTTAATTGTCAATCTGGGCTTTTTGATGCAATGTTGCTTTTTCAAAACACAGTCCTCGCAACACTTGTCTCTGTCAATTTGAAAGCCCATGCAAGGAAGTCCATGCACAAACTATTTCAAAGCCATATGATGCGATGTTTGATGGTGTGGATGACATGCTCATTTTGGCAAAGAACCAAGTCTTGAAAGTACTTTCTTGATATATGAAATCATTTCATTGAAACGTTATTTATAGATTATGTATTTTCAAATTGTGATATTCACTTGATATTAATTTATTTTTGCGCATATTTTTATTTTTGAACATGATCAATATGTAAAAAAATATAATATAAAAATGGAGAAGAAAACCATTTATCAAACATTTTTCCCTATTTTACTATAATACACCAATGAACTTTAGTGAATTTTTGTGTTAATAGTACATATTTTACTGCTGTTTCCAAAGTAATGTTCACTCCTTTGGGACCAGCAAAACTTATGGAGTGTTGATCTGATGATTATTCTTTAGTTTCTCACGTTTTTAACTTTCTTAAGGTTCCAGTGGCAATTTTATACATGCTTCTAGGATTACAATATAATGTCTGAATTTATAGGAACTCAATTGAGTATAAAATATCAAGGTAAATATTGATGGTTGTTGGGCATGAAATTTAAATGGAACGAATTTCTCTTCTCGTGGAGGTATAAAGAAAACTCAGAAAGTCCCTCCTCAAGCCACCATCGATTTGTGTCAATCAAAGCTCTTTGATTGACACAAATTTTCAGTCCACCGTGTATAAGAAAGGATAAATGATCAAATGAACATTCATTTCAGAGTTCGATCTTCATTCTTCAGAGCATTCAATATGCAGAGAAAACACTCGGATCATTTGCAGTCAGAACCCTTTGTCTACAGGAAAATACTAAAAAATATACCTGGACCAGGAGAGAAAGACAAAATAAACAAAACTCAAAGCTGTTTATATGCTTGTTTTTTGAACTAACTAGTGAACAAGATATTTCAGGAGTAGTTTTGCATAAACCTTTTTATAACAATAAAATTAGAACCCACTGAAATACTTATTGCCATGCCTGCCTGTGTCTCCCTCCATCTGTGACCACAGGCAACTGGCGAGGGCTAGTCCCTGTATCCTTTGCTATGCTTATTTCTAGCTTGTTTCTATTTGGAATGGTGAAAGGTGTGAAGATAGTAGACTGGATTGCATTGAACTATTGTCTAGATTTCAATCTGGACGATAATGACTCAGAGGCATTCACCTACATATGTACGTACATGTAGCAGGCACTCTATATTTCAATCACATTCCTACTACCCTTACTTCAGGATGCTGTACATGTTTGACAAGATGTACGTCATCTAGATTTTGGTTCTTTCTGGATACTATCATTTTCCCTCAGGTAGAAAGCTCTCTTGCGCCGCCAGGAGATTCACGGATTACATGTTAGCTTGGTGGTGCTTCCAGGCGCAGATAGTCGTACATAACCCCATTGTATGGACCTGAAGCTTTCCTTTGCGTCAAGTAGATGCTATTGCTTCCCTTCTTCAGATCTGCCGCTGGAATGTCGATATTATAGAGCACATATATCCCTTGAATACCATGCCGTGCAATAGCGTTGTCTTTGCCAAATGCCGGCGTTTCGTACACAGGCTTCGATGAAACATCGTTCACACGGACCTGCGGACGACATGGATAGCAGAACTTTACTACAATACTTTTTGATATTTATGGAACGAACTTCGAAGGATGGAGCATCGTTTTACAAGAATGTATGCCTGAATTGTCCTCTTCAGTCATGTCCAAGCTCTAGGTTTATGATTCTGATCGACTGGGAAAGCGTCTTGACAGTAAACAATGACCGCGAATTATATAGAGAGAACCGTGTCATAAGTTTGCAAACCTGGATAGCTGAAACCTGTGCCTGGGCGATGGCCATGCGAAGCTTATAAGCGCCCTTGCTTTCGTCAAAGCTTGAGAGCTCGAACTTGATCTGCCATCTTGTTGCTGTGTAAGTCCCATCAGAGTGTCGCCTGCATAGGGTGGCATTGAAGCGACAGATTTGTCAGTTACCGACTTAAGCAAGGAGAGAAAAGAATGTGACAGGCAGGCTACAGACAGGCACTCTCAAAAACGATCAGTCAGGAGCACTCTCATTAAACTCTTATATCTCACTTTGCAGCAGCAGTGCTTGAGTTGATCTACTCACCTTGTGTTGTGTGCAAAGTACCAATCCTTTTTGTAGTCACTCGTCCCCACCGTGTAGACTAGATCCTGTGATGGATAAAGCTCCGAGTACCTTGCCCATAGACCATAGTTGCGCCATCTGGAAATTATCCATTCCATTTACAGCACATTAAATTTATCATGCGATCGTTCCATGTGGAACTAACGCATCAAACCGCTCGAGCGAAATATTGCAATCAGTCAATATGGAAAAAAGGAACTGTCCCATATATAGACTGTCCTCCCAATCGTCAGGATGAATTTCAAAGGAATGACGTTAGATCTTTGTCTGTCACTAACTCCAACGAGCAGTACTCAATGTTTTGAACCAGTGTATGAGAAGTTGTTACGGACTGAAATGGACGATGGTGTTGCATTGCTGAAAGTAGGAAGAACTAAAATTTTAGATGGCTGCCTGAGAGTCTAGGAAGCTGCTAAGGAAATCACAAGGACGACAGAGGCATGGATTCAAAATCCTGAGGTGGCTTTACCACCCTTTACAGAAGCTGCTCAAGACGTGAACAAGTTCCAAATGTCTGAATCAAATCATCTGTGATTTTTCCCTCCCAATATCTTGCCTACCAATTTGTTAAGTGTTATACAAATTTAGCTTTCTCGTGTCTGGCAGCAAATATGAAAGCGAGGTCGACACAGTCACCAAGTCAATAATAAGACAGATTCAGGAAAGAGAAGAGGTTGGGACTAACTTTTCGGTATCGACGTACAGACTGTTGGGGTATTTTGGATTGGGGTCCGGAATGTAGAATTCAGCCGCTGTTCGACTGGGAGTACCGATTTCCCAAGATGTAGGTCCAAATCGTGGAGGCTCATAAGTAAGAGTACCCAGCGATATTTCTTCACCTGCAAATAATTAACAACCGGTGGATTTGGTCATTAGCATGATATGAACTTGCAAGGCTTCAATTAGTGCAAGCGAGTACCTCCATACTACGTATCTTCGTCTGTGTATTCAAACCCAGCTTTAGATTTGCTAACCTTCTTCGCTGCTCGGGAGTGAATTACTAAGTGAATTTATTTCCTCGAAAACTCTGAATTAACGCAACATGTGTCTACTCCTGCCTCCGCTGCTACATCAATTTCATCAATCTCGGGACCCATACGAAGTATGATGTGCCCCCCTGGCCTAAATTCCACCACACTTGGAATTTCAAACCTGTTATCAGGGTGCTCCTGATGCATCTTACTGTGTACTTCATGCAGCCAGAGTGCTGGCGATCCTCCCCTCCCTACTGAGGGTGAAGAGTTTTCAAGTCACTTAAGGTATGGGCATGAGGTAGCCTGACCACTCATTCACTTAACGACATCCTTGGATGAAATTTTCATTTCATACTCTCGAGGATGCAAGATGGTCACCTGCTGAAACTTTGATGTCTCCTGATTTCTTGTAGTCACCGATAACAGAAGGCACAAATGCGAACAGACTGTAGGTTCCAGCACGGACATGTTTAATTGTAAAGTTGCCATCTTGATCTGCTTGGACCCAGAACTGGTACCCCTGCTCACAACCAAGGGAGATCGTCAAATGAATTCTAGCCAGAGACGAGCTTATTTGTTTCTATAAATTGGACTTTGAAGTTATAGCAATCTAGTCATTCAAAACTCGTACCGAGTAGTAGTACATCTGATGCTTTCGGCCTGGCTTGCTTTACGAAAGAAATTTCGTCCTATTCAGTAAATTTACTCACCTTACTCTCCTTTTGCCACGATCCCGCCGCTCCAGGCTTTGCCAATCCTACCAGTGCGTCTCTGGCAGAACTCGTTTTAGACTTCGCGTATCTGCACCAGCTCAGAGCATAAAGAATTTGGAAAGGCAGACATTTTTGCACACTCTGAAATTTTCACCTGCTGAAGACAAATAACTACGTTTAACCTTCATTCCGGTATTTATTCACCACTATATTAAAAGAAAGTCAATAAGGAGGCTTCTGAATCACTGTACTTGTCAGAAACTATGAGTCGCCCTTTGACTTGTGCTCTGCTTGCTGACTTGGGATAGTCCGAGGAAGAGGGCCAGGAATACGGCCATGCATTAAGTTCTTTTTTCAGCTGGACATACAAATCAAAACCTTTAGTTGAGCTGGCTGAGAAGAAGATCTCAAACAGAAAGTCTCAAACAGAAGGTCTCAAACAGAAAACTTGCGCTCGAGTGCAATCGAGGAAGCTGCTCTGGACGTACATTGCAAGATCAAATCGTAACCTTGACGGGGTATGGTAGTAAATAATTACAGCTGCAAATTCTGATTGGAAAAGTTGACTGTAGAACATTTATACCTCTGCTTTGGCATCGTCCCAGAGAGCACGAACTGCGGTTCCAGCAGCCTTCTTGTTGAGGTAAACATAGACTGGACCGAAGACCTTCTTCCAAGACTCGCCATCTCGAAATTGAGGACAGAGCTCTATACCAGCAAAGTGTGCACTGTGAAACATCTGGGCCAGGGACGCAGCCAACAATAACTGTCAGGAATCAGGTGGTTAATAAGGTCGTTTTAAAGGCCTAGCGAGAACAAAACTCGTGTATAGACGATATCTGCCTTAAAGAGCCATTTCTGTACTCTCATTCTTACCCCAAGACAAGTAGGACCAGAGTGGGATGTAAGATCCTGTTTGGTCGGACCTCCATTCCGAAACTCATTGCTAGCTGTGATCATCCAAAATCCAACAACTGGATCGGACTCGTTGGCCACCCACCCGTGGACCTTGTTGTCCCTGTTGTTTAGAGCATACTGATACTTGTCATCGACCTACAGAAAGAAAAATGACAATAGTGAAGGGTTCATGAGGCGAAAGTGGTACAAATCACGATCCGCTTGTGCATATGAGAAGGAAGATGTTTCATTCCACATACTCTACATGAACTAAAAGAAGGGAGATGGTTCGATCAAAACAGACTTGTGTACTTCAAAGCTTACTTGTCCTTTCAAAGCTGAATTCTTTGGATTGGTAAGAAGCCTGGCTTCTTTGTATGCTAGTTGTTCGCTTCGAGCATCCGATAAGTCGGAAGGCTCAGGCATCAGCTTGATTTTGTTATCAGCGAGTGCTATGTAGTGGAAACTGCAGTCGAATTTCCAAGTTAGCTCTGAGCCAAGATCGATTTGTACTATGATCTCAAGCGTGACTGCAAAACGAAGGCAACCTAGATAGATCTGTTTAGATAAACAGCGACGAGACAATCACAATTACAAGCGAATAGGAATGAGGGTGAAGGCATAGTACTCGGTTTCGCGAAGCTTGAAACAAACTCGAGTTTGACCCATGTCAAAGTCAGGCCATCCTGAAGATCGTGAGTAAATGGCGTAGGTGTAAAACCCTGAGTGGCCTCGTACCAGGACAAACCTGGATATGTTGACAGGGCGAGAGGTGAGTGAAGCAAATGTATCAAGAAACACAATCTAGTTTTTCTCAGCAATCAACTTAATGAGATTGCAACAATGTTACTTATACGCTTTCAGACATATGCAATTCTATACTGACGGACTTCAAAATTTGCTAGCATTGCAGCAATCGATCCTTTCACCTCTCCTGAGGCAGGTAGAAGAAATTTTGAATAGCTCAGAGAACTGAATATTCTTGCCAGCCTCCAGATTAACTACAGAACTTCATACATTTATCCTCACTAATGCTGTGCATATAGAAAATCAGAGCAGCACGTTGTTGAATTTTTCATTCTTTGATTACCTTTTGTCAATTGTCAGAGGCACCATAGCTGGCGATCTACTTGAGTCGTACGGTCGGGTGAAGGAAAGCTCAACCTTATCACCATTCGACTCCACTACCTTATATTGAGTTGCAGATGGTCTGCAAAATTGTTTTCATTTTGTGAATGTATATCGCGGCTTCTGATCATGAACATGTACAGCATGCAACAGAAAAACAGAAAAACAGAAAAATGACAGTTCTAACATGGTTAACCGTGATGTTTCCAATTGTCATGCCTGATGTGATAATTATGTGAACCCACACCATCCTTCATAGTAACACTTTCTTCAGATTTTCAAAACTTTGCTTGTGACCATGATGACGGATGATGTACGGAGCTGTAAGCTTTAAGTGGAATGATCGAATATGTACGCAGCACTTACGCATCATATGTGTCGGATCCATCGACCTCATTCCAGTTCAGATCCCAATACCTGCATGGGGTAATCACCATGAGAAGGAAGTAGCACATATACCAGCAGAGCTAAACCATGCACTAGTTTTGAAACTGATGCAGCAGTTTGATTGTATTTCCACAAGCTTTCAGATGTCATCATGCAATTCAATGAGCTTAAGACTGGATGGACGTTACCCCCTGTTAGTTTCTGAGTTGGTAGATTCCAACACGTTGTCCATTCCACCGTATTTTATGCCTGTTACATGTCCCCCAGGCCTGGATATGGTGACTTGAACATATCCATTGTCCATTACAACCTGCAACAATCGTCGAACGAATACCTCGATCAGATTTCCGAAGGGACTGCAGTGAATAGCAATAGCATTACATTTTGCAGGGAACCGCTGAATTATCTCATCGGAACTTCTGACAAACTTACAGTAACTCCCCGTATGATTTTGCAAATGAATTGACACACTTGTTCCAACTTATAGATGGCAGAACTGAGGTATCAATTACCTTGCTGCTAGTAGATGTGTATGTCACATCAGGAGCCATCTTGATCCAAAAAGTGTCGTCAAATGTAGCAGCTGTCAACCAAACATCAAGTGTCATATTCAAGTGAAAAATATTTAAAACTTCAGTGGACTTTCAATTTGTCCAATCTGAAAACTCGAGAAACATGCGAGAAGAAGTTAATACCTGTTACCTATGAAGATCTTTACAGTCGAAAACTTTCTCAAAGCCGGAAGTCCTTAGAAACTACGATCTGCACACCACTCAGCGGCACATATTTGTCCTCCTAACTTTGATTGCTATTTTTTTCGCTTACTGTTAGTGATGATGCCTCGAAACAGCCTAAGAACTTAGCTCAATCATCAACTTCACCTCCACAAGTGAGAGCCGAACTTCGTCTGACTGACAATGCTAAAGGCAGATCAGTGACTTTGGCTGCGCAAAGCTGAGAGTTATATAGCGTTTAGCCCATCTTAAAATTACCAGGAGGGACCTGCACGAGGTGCATGCATTTGCACTCGACAGGTCTTATTCACGCTTACTCCACCTTACAGACGGACCCACATGAATTCCAGAAGGCACTCGGTCTTACTCAAATCAGCCTTCATTCATGGAGGAAATCGCCAGCCTAAGCTGATGGCAAGTCTAAAGAGATGTTTGAGAGCTTAAAATCATGTCTACTGTTCTTTGTTCTTCGGCCTCCATGTACTTGTGTGTGGTTTCTGTCCATTCCCACACGTGTTTTTATAAAGAATTCTTTCTATTTGGATTTCCATCTCGGACAGGTCTGTCAGTGACACACAACCACATGAATCTCAAGAACAAGACTTTTTCGAGAAAGAACCAAATCTGCTTTTAAATTAGCAATTGGGCGCACCAACCAATGAATGAAAATCAGTTCAGTTACACTGGGAAAGTCTTCCAGTTTCTTTGCTCCGTTTCAGGGTCAGCTCAATGGGTCCATCTCCTGCATGGAGATGGACCCATTGAGTATAATCTACAGTAGCCTCTGGGTGGTCATTCATGCAGGAAGCTGTTGCAGTGGCTATGTGAATACCGAAAAACAAGATAAAAGCTTGTATGAAGACTAGAGAAAAGCTCTCCAGAACGTCAAGGAAAGAGAAGTCTAACTGAATGACTGATATTCGCCCTTTCCTTGAGGCTTTGATTAAGACCGTATGACGTCCTAGGAACTAAATCCTCGATCGCTTGAGTAAATCACGTGTCGGTTGATCTATAAATATGGATCGAGTTCTGGTACGGACACGTGATGCTATACAGAACATATGTGTGCCTCAATATGCTACAGGCACACAGTCATTTACTTCTAGAAAATTAAGTTGACAGCTCTAGCATTGGTCAATCTAATGTAGGTTCATTAGTTTGTCTATGCGGATTTACTCCAAAGGCTAAATTTGTGTCTTGACTTGGTCTTTCAACAAAGACCATACCTCACTAGAACGGATAGAAAGTACGAAAGAGAGATGAAGGATTTGAAGAAAATTTTGAATCTTTTTTTTCCTATCTAAATAATACTGATAAACTTTCAACTTTCGAAGTAGAAGATTCTCTACTTCGAAGGTTGTGGAAGCAAGAAAATTAAAAAAAATGAAAAAATTGCATCTGCATGCTGTCCAGTAGATGAGACGATGTGAATTTTAAATTCTTCTTGTAGGCTCTCAGACGAAGAAAAAACAATTTCGTTCTGCAAGAATGGGAGCAGGCAGCTTTTTCCGGCTTCATATTGCAGGTAATAAACTGTACGTTTAGAACTTCATCTATGACTATATCAGTGTAAAAACAACAAAACTGTATACCGCTCCTCATACATATGTGAGAAGGCCAAACTAAGATGGCACGTGCGTTTGTACGAATCAGTACCTTTTGAACAGGCATAGCCTGGGGTCAGAATAATGTAAGGGGCTTCCAATAAGTACCCTATTTCAGGAGTTCGCGCAGTAGACGATGGCCTGTTGCAAACATTAATTTTACCAATATTTGCATATTTCCAATTACTCGTTCCATTTCTTTTGTTTGTAAAAGAGAGAAACAACCCTTGTGAATATGCATGACAAGCATGCTACATGTGGTTGATATGTATGATTGCGTTGCAGTCCAGCCAGTAGACATACTAACCAGAGTCGTCAAGATGCGCATCTCCCTGTGAAGAAATATGGTTCTCTAGTGATATGATAACTGTCACCTCCTTATATTAAGGACCCCATATAAGTTCTCTGTACGGCCAAATTTATAAATTTTTTTTCAACTACTTCTGACTTCTCCTTTGTCCAACGGATCACAACTATGACAAAACTCCACTGCTTTAGAATACTTTTGAGACAAAAAAAACCGAGAGTATATGAAGTATCGGGAAAACTTTGTCTTGAATCATAATTACGTTTCCCTGTTACATTGATTAGATCTTTCCATTATCCCTAATCCGGTTCTAGACATCTAACGGAGAAAACTAATTGTTAGAAATTGTGTAAGTCAAAACATTTGTTGGGATCCAATAGGATTCATTTCAGCAGAGGGGAAAACTCTTGACATGCTTGAACCCACCATGACCCTTGTTCTAATACGAATTCTTGTAACCCACCTAAGTACAAGAATTCAAAAACAATTAACTCAATAATGCCTCTAGACAATGTTCACACTGCTCAATCCAAAGAGGTCCACCAAAAATAGTTGAGATCCTTGTTGGAACAAGATTTACATGATTAATCTCTACATTAAAATCACCATATTCATGCCTTAGCATGTGTAAGGGACATTAATTATGAGCTTAATTATTTGATGTGAGGATGTATGTCTAATCATCAAATTTAGTTGGATATTTTTGAACTCTGACATTCAATCTTTTTCGTCTGCAGACCTACTCTCACACTCCCTTTGCACGCCGTATGCAATGACGATCCAAACCCAATCATTTTTATTTCTTTTCTAATGATAAGCTCAACTTGACTCCAACACATTTCAATTTGATGCAATTGTGATAAGATCTAACGATCTTGTTGACAAATAGATTTTTTTTTTCTTCTTCATCTTAGTCGAAATACCCGGGCTCAAATAATGAGAAAGTGCAAAGGTCAAACCATGAAGACTCATGTCTGATGCGAGAAAGTTTTGTTAGCACCAGAGTATTGTGGTAACCCACTTTTTGTTTTTGTGCGGAATTAAAACGTTTTTGGAAAACAAGTACCGTGACAGCAACTGTAAATAGTAATCGGTACATAAAATAGAGTGAAAAGAGAGGATCGCGGGTCACGGAGAATCCAGGAGTTGGGAGGGGCTAGGATCAAGGTCCAGCGCCTTGGACGGCGCAGACGGTTTCTACTGGGGAGAGCGCCTTTGACGCCTTTGGCAACAGGTCCTTTGCTGAGGTGTCTTCGGCGATGCGCCTTCGGCGCTGACGCCTCCAGAGGATCTGTCGCTGAAGACGTACGAAGCATGTGCGACACACGCCTTCGTCACAGGGAAAACGACCTCGTCATTTTGTTCGCCTTCGGCCGTACGCCTTCAGCGATAAGTTCCTTCGCCCCAACACCTTCGGCACTAGCGACTTCGTCGCTAGCGCCGCCTTCGTCGATAGGTTTTGCCTTCGGCGTACGGAAGGCCTTTGCCTCTAGGATTCTCCTTCGATGAAAAGATGCGCCTTCAGCGGTGTAATAACCCACCGAAGGCTAAATCTGCAGTATAGTAGCAAAAAGGTCAAACCCACAAGGACAGAGGCAACACACAAAGTACAAAGTGTCACATTTAATAGACTATTGAAGAGTTTGAATTCTCAGGCAACTGTCACTCCCAGAAATACTGCAAGTGCTCAACTCTGAGGTCACTCGGAGGACGCATAGTGCAGCGTAGTTCACCCCAACACACACTTGAAACTATAGAAACACAACTCAGAGGTCGGTTAGGACCTCTACATAAGATTTCAGGGGGAAAGTTTCTCACGAGTACATTCAGAGGCTCTGCAGGTAGTGACTCCCAACTCCGGCTTTTACAACCCTTCCACTAGTTTCTGCTAGCGCAGGGCACACGAGTTGGACTTCCTACTTCGGATGCGGTATCTTTGTCAAACCGAAGTCACTCACACACGGTGAACAACACACTCAACTCACAAAACCCGCAGAGATTACAGGTCCGAACTGAGAAACTCAACTGAGAAAAGATCCAGTGGCACACCATAATAGTCCATTGACGAGTTTGAATTCTCAAGCACTAGTCATTCCCAGAAATACTGCAGAGGTTTGCCCGAAGGGCGCCTTCCGCAGCGTAACCTGAATTACAACCAAGGCTTACTCGAAGTAACAAAACTTCACTTTGGCATTCAGGGGAAACATCCCGAAGGAGTACAATCGGGAACAATCACCCGAAGGTGTAGGGACGAACTGTTCAAGTATCTAACAAGTTACTAGCTCTGAGCATTCAGCAATCACCTGCAGGTGTAGATCCAAACTGCTCAAGTATCTAACCAGTACACTGGCTCTGACCATTCGGCCGAAGGCCTTCAGCTACAAAATGCGGTATCTTCGTCAAGCTATAGCTCCTCTTGCGCGGTGACAGAACTAAGGACACAAACATGGAGAGAAAATGAGTTCCTGATCTGCACTTCCGAATCTGGAAGAATTCCAAGGCAAGACGCCTTGAATTACTTTATACCCTCTAAGTCCTAACTAACACTTTACGCTTGCACTACACTACACTACGCTGCAGCATCCTGCAGATCCTGTACTGTGACTTCTGCGCGACGGACTGCCGCGCGCTAACTCCCTACCCGACCAGTCTTCAGCTTGACTGCGCAAGCCCAGCTGCCGCAACACCGCATTCAGCTCCGCCTCAAGGTTTGCCATGGCGTCCCGCGACCTTGATAGGTACGCATCTAGCTTCTTAGCCACTCGCCGCCGGCTCCGACTGTCACCCGACATCAAACCCACCGCACGAAGCTCTAATTCGCGCAAGGTGAGTTTCTCCTGCGCAGCCACTTCCCAGAGTGTGTATCCTCTGAGACAGTGGTTGACTCGCTTCACCAACTCTTCCTT